GCTTCCAGCAAGGGAGGTACCATATTAGCATTAACCATCTCCAGATCATCCGCTTTTTCAACGTAGATGTTTATAAGTTTGAGGATTTCCTTCTTAATCGTACGTAGACCCCGAACCTTGGGCGTTTTCGTGGCGATGTTTCCTGCCAAAAAAAAAAAAAAAAAAGGCGTTAAATGGCAACAATCATTAAAATTAAAACATGGAGTCAAAAGTGGAAAAACTCACCATCCCGAACAACGGCATCGGATATAAGCTGACTAGAAGCTCTATACATATTGAGCATATCATGATAGATCCGGCCGATTTGAGAGTAAAAGTAGCTTCCAATAGACGAACAAGCAGCAACATTCGTTTTCATAATGTTTCCCACAATCTTAATGGTCTCTCCATCTTGCAAAATGGACGGATCCTGATTTGCTTGGCTGATGATCGCGTCCCAGGCCGAATTCGGTAACGACATGAGATTCTCAATCAGTCGATCTTGCAAGCCCTTTTGGCCCTGGGCTGAAATCATATAGCCGCAGGCTTCGTAAAAGGTATGGATTTGTTGCGGGGACAAATCGCAGGTGATTTTTCGCATGGTTCGGACGATTTCCTCGATGAAAGGCTCCGTCTCACCAGGCTGGAGAGCGACGAAATGGCGTTTGCACTTGTTTGCAATTTTGATGAAGGTATCACACGCCATGTCTTGGACGCCTGTAGAAAAAATTTCAGGTTAGTATATTGTCAAGGTAAAATGAGGGTATGTAAAATAGGAACTAACCTTCGTGCGTTTCATGCATAAATTCGAACAACTTGTTAACCACCGTCTTCAAAAATTTCCAGTGCGCTTTCAAAAACCGTGGGTACTGTCCGACAATGTACATGATATTACTGGCCACGACGGCTTTATTGTCTTTGCCCCGTTTCATTTCTGTAAGGCCAAGGAGGTCCTTGATAACAGTGACGAGGAATCGTTTTTCAGTTTCTTCATTCATCGCGCCAGATATAGAGCCAATCGCCCAGCACAACGTATTACAGTTCGCCCACGACCATTCGGAGCCATCGACTTGCTTGGCCAGTTTATCTGCCATGATGTTTTCCGTATCCACGACATCTAGATGAGTAAGATATACCAAACATTCTCTTGTAGTCTTGTAGAGCTGGATAGTGTCGCTTTCCTTCACAAACTCGCGTACGATTTCGCCTTCCTCGTTCTCAACGATTAGAACTTCCTCCGGCCTCACCATCTTTTCTATCATGACGGTTCTCAGACTAGATAATACTTCCTGGTATTTGTGCTTTCGTAGTGGGTAGTTGGCAAGTGTGTTGGGATGGGGAGCGCCGCCGTTGGATAAACCGCTAACGCCCATGTTGACTAAAGGGTTGATGTCTGTGATCGGAAGCTGCTGCATTTCCTCGTACAATTCCTGTACCAGTTTTGTCCAGTACTCAAGACAGATCTTGAAGATTTCCCTGTCGTCAATTTGGCTTATACGGATAAGATAGAAATGAGCGTGAGTGAGGTAGTCGCGATTAGGAAGTTTCTCGATGACCTATCATCACGGGTTGTCAGTGTTACCGTTATAGAGAACAATGGTGTTTAAGAACAGGGAAACAAGAGGGGGGGAACCTACATTTAGTCGAACACTGAAGAAATTGCAAAGGAAAAGCGCTAAATTCAATACAAACTCCTGATCGCGCGAATTGCTAGTAGCATAGGTCTGCTTGAGATCCAACGATAAAGGAATGATCTTCGACACCGTTGTCAATGTGTCCGTAAACAACTGGACTAATTTCTCATCATACGAGTACTGAGACCCAATTTGAAGGCCCCCAATCTCCGTCAGACATTTGAGCGTCACGTTCCTGAAATCAGGCACATCCAAAAACCTATTGAGGAGAGTGTTGATGATGGGTGTTTCAAAAACATATCCTAAAGGAATCCAGTTCAGGAATCGGAGCAATGTTTCCAATGTGGCTTTGATGAGGCTGCTCTGGTTCGCGGTGTTAAGAACCTCTGAGCAAAGTTGGAAGATCGAAGAGAATTCTTGGCACATTGTTGTCTTTAGGTTCTTTGCCTTCGCGGATGTCATCTGGTCCTGGGAATAATCGAAAACTTCCTCCGATAGCAGCCGGAGAATAACCATGTTGTTCTCGCATATCGAGAGACTAGTGTGGCAAGACGAAATGATCTCGTTAATGAAGGTTGGCCAGTTATGTGGCCACTCTTGCTTCAAGATGGAAACAAGCACGAGGTTGAGTTTATTAAGGAACGCTCTCTCTGTTTTCAGTTTATCTTCCGTCTTCGAATGTTCGATGATGCAGTTGACAATGAAATTCCGAATGCCTGACAATGCGTGTAAACATAGCTGGAACAGCTGCAACAATAGAAGAAAATTGGCAAGGAGGATAGGTACCTTGACATTGCTCCCTAGGAAGAACCTTCCATCTTGTCATAATAACATCGTCCAACACCTGTAAACCGAGATCTAGAAGGCAACTGTTAGCCCACGAACTTCCCGCACGTATATTCTAGAGGCTGAAAGAAATCATTCTTACATTTCGTGTGGACATAACCAGATTCCTGCAGGATTGTCCCTACTAACAGCCAGGCATCAGGGCTTTGCTTGAACTGCATTTCCCAAGAGATTGTCAGATAACCTAATTTTTCTCATAAAAGGGAGAGGAACCCGAGAGACCTGGGATTAAAAAAGAGGGCACGGGGTTAATCACCTCGGTCAGGGTCTGTTGCGCTTGTTTTCGCTATATATTTAGATAAACTATGTCAGCTTCTGTTTCCTCTTGAATATAATGTTTCTTTTTTATATCATTTTACACCATTCCACAGCTCTTCCCCTTTCCCCTGCTTCTTTCTTTCCAAGGAACCATTTCAATCGAGAATTTGCCGCTAAAAATAACCAAAGATCGAAGATATAAAAACCGAAGATAGAAAATCGTCTTAACTCACTACATCGCCCTTTCCTTCATAGAAGGCTCGAACGGTATTATCTAGTTCTGCGATTGAAACCGACATGCCGCGCCAAGGGGAGGGGGAGGGAGGGA